CAATGGTAGCAGTGTTACACATGACATTACCGCCAACAGGTCTAGTTTGTTAGAAATCATTGAGAAACACACTGTGGCTTCAAGGTGTGGTCCTAACAAATGGGCCCTGTTGCCAGACACTGACATAGGAGAGCTAGGATAAGTTACATATCACACAGTTGCCTAGAGTTTCAGGGGGTTATTCAATGACACCTACAGTTCCTTCTCATTTACACAGGGCTATGTCCATACTTGAACACAGGAGAGATCCAGCATAGTTTAAAAAAACAGACAAAAAATTATTTCATTTCTGTTGCTCTGGATTTTCCATCTTCTATGGAAAGAGCATTTAAGCTAAACACCACTCAAAATTCAAAAGTGGGAATGCTGGTCCTCTACCCTTGCCAATAAAATGCATATTCAGAAACCTTCTTAATTTCTTTTTTTCATAACTGCAACACGAACACTGTGACTCACATTCACCAGTAAAAATATCTCCCTGTAGGTGTAGATTACCCAACGACGTACAAGCAGGCAGTTTCTTGCAGGTGGGACATGTCCATTTGATTTTGATATTTCAAGATCTTTCCATAAGTGCTAATATGTGATTTCACAAATGAGGCAATCAAAAAGTTTCTTAACCGAAAAGCTCATTTCATCATAAAGCAAGTAATGATATACAACACATGCTATAAACCGAAAGAGCAGTAAAGGCCAACAATGCAGAATCAGAACAGCATTAGAATTGTTTTGACAGTTGCTGAGCCTTCACAGACCTCACTGCTTTCCTGTATTTCAGATTATACCTACAAAGAAATCGGACAATATGCAATGTCATCACATTGCAGAAATAGAAATTCCCTTTTCTTAGAAGTACAGAATTCAGAAGGCCAATGACTGTGAAGTAACAACACAGAGGCCAGACATTACTCAAATATGTAAAGTGTAGAACTTGCCTTCTACTCTAAGAGCACAGCAAGGAGGAAATTTAACAGCAGTTGTTCTTCTCCCTGTTCCTCCAATTGCACTGCTGAAGCATCACTCTATTACCCAAAGTGCAAGACTGACAGAGCTGAAATAAGCCAGCAACACCAAGGGGGATGCATTCCAGAGGAGATATATGTCAGATATACCTTCCCACATTAGAGCAGAAAGGTCAGACTTCCTTTGAGGGATGGGAACCACAGTTCCAGAAGCTTTGCTCTGGACTGCTGAAGCAACTTTCAGCTTTTCTGCAGTTAAACAATTGTCTCGTATCAAAACACTTAAAAGTCCAAAATAAGTGTTTCAATAAGGTTTTTTTTTTCAATAAGTGTTTTTCCAGATTGTCTGCTTCTCTCTCTCGCTTCTAAATTATGACATTTTTCTCAGACATTCTTTCATGACTTCCATACATTGCACTACAACACAATACAGTAGTTACAACATATTGTAACACATGCACCTTTATCTACTATAAATATTGCAAGTAAAAATTGAGGTAGTTGTAGAGAATTGACCTTCTGCAAAATAGCAATAATATTTTATGGCAAAAAGTCATGCTAGCTGACTTTCACAAATTCTGTCTTAACTAATTGTTTTTTGTTAGCTGGTAACTGCTGAAAGCCAAGCAGAACAAGCAAGGGACAAAATGGCAAGCCCAAGACTCAAATAGATTTCAGAATTCTCAAATTCTCTGGCAACTTGGTTCTAGAACTGGGAAGGCAGGAGACAAGCCATTTTACACCAGTTCTGCTTGAAAGGCCATTATTGCAGAAAGACTGTAAACTAACATAACTTATGCCTTTCCCCTTGCAACAGAAAAACCCAAAACTGCAATTACAAAACAATTTCTCTTCCTATCCCCTTCCTCCAGTAATCAACAGAGACAAGACCAAGATCTTAGGAATGAAGACAGATAAAATACACAGGAGACTTTGCTTTACTGACCCCAATATAATCAATGTCCAAATCATGATATTGTTTAGCTCCTAATATCCAAGAAACAATATAATAAGCAGTGATATCTGGATAGTCATAGGGCCAGTTTTCACCCTTCCCTATCCATCCTGGAAATGCCCAAGGTAATCCTGGAAAAGGAGAAGAAAAACGAATTAAGATAAGTGGTTGGTCAACATTACTCAGTAAGCTTCAACTGCAAGCTGCAATTCGTTCTACCTAAAACGAAGGAGACGATACAGTGTTCAAATTCACATTGTTCCAGTGAAGACAATGAAACATAACTTATTTAACTGGAGAGTATGCTCTAATATAAACTGTGATAAATATATCAAAAGCTCCTTTTTCTTTTTTAACTAGAAAACCTTCATTACTAGAGAACAACTGACTACATACAATCTTTCAATTCTGTCGTATTAGCGCTAACAGGTTTAAAATTCCAAAGATCTTAGGATAAAAACTTACAAAGTTATAGACAAAGGATCACTACTGAACACCAAAAATTGTTATCTCTTGAATACAGAAGTGAGGATCTGATCATAATAGAGGAAGAAAGATTAGGATCATGAAGAAGTATTTCCAAGTCTCACTGGATTTTGTAGCAAATAAGAACAACAAATTAATCTAACCAGATCCTGCTAAGTTTTCAGCTGTCTTTGTATAAGACACTATAGGCTAGGTCACAGGCAAACCCTCCTTCCTTTGTTGAGAGCTTGATCTGAGGGAAGATGGACGTTATTAATAATCACAATTAGTCACAGAAGGTAAGCTCGCTGCTTGTCACAGTGCCGGACTAAGAGAACCTCATTGGCAAATCCTGTACCAAGTCACGCCTTGTGGCTGGATACAGACAAGCCTGATCCCTGGAAGAGGGGAATTAAGACATTTTTTTAAGGGATAAATTACTTCCCTTTTCTCATGCGAAATACGTTTTGTAAAGTGTTTCAATTAAAATCTGAGGATCCACATTTTTACTGTCACAGCACACACACAACCCATGATCAAAACAGGGAGACAGGAAAGTCCTCTTACAACTCAATACATAAGAGAAATCAGAAGACAAGAACCACTACAGAGGGGAGGGGGTGATGGGTTTGTAATAAGAACATACAATTGAATTTAGTGTGTGTAAGATTTACAGATTTATACTTCCTGTAAGTTTACTCTATACCTTCCAGGTTTTTTACTCTATTACTCAGAAATTCATCTCATGATAATGTTTATTGCTGTCATACAGTCTAAGCATTAATGTTACTTGATACAAGCAAACAATCAAAGAGTCCTTTCTTAAACTATGCTACTTGTTATATACATTCTTGTTATGTTGCTTGTTACAGTAGCACAACATAAGAGTGCTGTGCTACTGTAACTAAGTAAAACACACTAAGTTTAAGTGAAGCATCAAGGCAAGCTTACCAAGTATGAGAGATTCTACTTTGACTACTGCAACATCAAAACATTTGCCTATTAAAATGCTAATTAAGGGTCAGATATGTAATTTAATTAGGGGGGAAAAAAGCATTTAAATCCTAAAGCTTGAAGCAATTTACCAATCAGTTTAATTTTGGGGTTCCTCTTTTTAGCTTCTTTCATCAGCCACCATTCATAGCCCCGGAAGTAGTTCTCATCATTTCCATAGTGCATATGGGAGGGTTCAGTACCATCTAGGAAGGAAAGAGACAGGTAGCTCACAATTATCCTCTGTGTCATAAGCTCTTACACATTAGGAAGTTTTCTGCATTGCTCACTGCCATAGTATGCAAGCACATATCTCCACTGTGGTTCACACGTGCTTTGGTATATATTTCAAAGCAAAATGAGTAGTGGTAGGAAACATGCACGACTTGCCACCCTTCATTCTTAGCATATTAATTTAGTCACCACAAATTTAATATTTTTTTATTTTTAAGGGATGATGCCTGCTTTTAACATCAGAATGTGTTATTCAGCATTTACTGTCCCTAGTTATCATAATAATAAAATCTATATTCATTATTATCTTGGTCCCAACAACCACTAGGAAAGTTACAGAATTAAGAACAGGAGGGAAAAGAAAAAAAAAAAACAAAAACCACACTTGCAGAAGCAGGTTATATCTAAACCAAAAAGCAAACAAAAGGAGGTTATATTGTGTTTCTTCTGTGCAAGGCAATTCTAAGGAAAGAAAAGAAAGGAACAGCCATGAAGTTTTTTAGTGACAGGAAAGAGATTGGTTTTTTTTATATATGTAGTAAAAGATTTAGTTTATAATTTCCATGGTGTTGGGTGACTGCAGGAAGAGTTTTTGGAATGGAAGGCCATGCACTGAATTCCCTCAGGCAAAGGTAAGCAAACTAGAAAGGTCCAAAAGAATCAGTGTTGCATGGGAAGTCGTTACACACAAAAGTCAATAACATGTGCATGCAACTGCAACAATTACTTATGATAAACTATATGCCTAATTGTTCCAGAGATCTCTTCTGCTCAGACTTTTTTTTTAATGAAGTCTGGTGAAACAGCACATTTCATTACAGAAAATAATATTTGAATTTTTTTTTTACCTTCCTAACAATTGATTATTTGGAAGTTCTGTTTGTGGGAGACATAGAACAAGATTTGGAATTCCAAACTTAGACTCCTGATCACACCTCTGAGGCCAGAATAAGAGCTGTAGTCCCATGTGTTAAGACATATGCATCTTACTGTTCTCCTTCTAAACAGGGGAAAGCCATCACAGAAGTATGTTATGTTTTCCTTAGCCAGCAGCAAGACTGTTTGAAGAGAAGGTCTGTGCATGCATGAAGACGACTCCATTCTCCTCTAACCAGTAATTTATTGACCAAACACCAAGCCCTTAAACCCAGTACCCAGTATAATACTTTTCATCGGGTTAGTTTTTCTTAAGAAAACCAAAGAAATGAAAAACAGTATCTAATTACAGAAACACAGACATTAAAAAAAAAAAGCCACAAAGATAGATGCTATGCTTTCCTATTTATTAACTGAGTCTCCTTTAAGTTTATTCTTGACGTGGCCAAGATTTACTTCTGGGGGCAGCGTGGGGAAAGAGATACAAACTGTAGTCTAGTTACTGCTCCTCTGCTTCTCAGCTTCCAATCAGCTTTAGTAGGTTAGGCAAATTACAGCAAGACATTTTCATTTGCAATTGCAGCCAGGCAAAAAAATAGTGCCTACTGTCAGACAATGCCACTCCAGTGAAATGTGGCAGCTCATGAAACCAAAGAAACATAACTGCTTCTGACCAGCTGTCTTCGCATTTTCATACTTGTAAGATATAAACTACCTAGTCCTACACAAGTTTTACAGAGTTTGTATTGCAAAACTGGTGTCTGAGAAATGCTCTGCAATTCAGAAAGCTACTAGAGCTTCCTTAATCTTGTAGGGGGAAAAAACAGAACTCACTTGCTTTAGAATGCAACCTATTAACCATGTGATAGTAAGAACCATCTCCAGAATGTTAGTGTAAGTTTCTCTTCTACAAGTTAGCAGATATTGTTTGTGTGTTACTGCAGCTTCAGTACAACTACAGAATAACGCATCTCCACGCTTCAGCTAAAGTGACACACGCAGGACATGAAATTCACGAGAAATCCGTACCTGTTGACTGCCCATCACCTCCAATCTCTACTTTGAGGATATGTAAAGAAGCACCAAAATTTGGCTAGAAAAATAAAAAGACAAAAAAACAAACAGAATCTTGCTGTTAACAAGACAAATGCAATAAATAAGTGTCCAGTTTTGAGGATGCTAAAAATGCAATACTTTTTTTAAAAAAAAAAAAACAAAACACCCATTATAGATGCAATGAGAGATTATATACAATTCTGCTTCAAAAGGAAATGGAGCAAGATAAATAGTATACTTATCTTTAGTCAGTTTCACTGACTCTTGCACTATTAACACATTTCTCCCCAGCTGTGAAGCTTTTACATTGGTTATGCTCAAGAAAACACTGAAGCACTCTTAAAAGTAGAACATGGGCTACATGAGAAACATAACAGTATTTTTAATGTCTGTCTGTTTTCTTTCAAAATCAAATTATTAGAGTCAAAACTTCAGTAAATAACTTATTATTTGGTGTAAAGGATTACACTGCTTATGTGAAAGAGCATACATTCAGGTCAGAAATAATCTGCTAACTGCAGGTGGAAAGGCAAGACAGAAAAAACACCACGCTGGAAAACAAATGGACACCTAGTCCACTGTCCTGTTCCCCTGGCATCTGACTGGTGAAGCAGAATACAAAATTCAAGTTCATACAGGTGATCCTACTCCTAGCATGTTCTTCCAGCCATTAGTGGCTTAACAGTTGCTCAAGCCAGAAGTTACAACTAGTTATTATTTTAATAACCACTGATGAGCTGGCCTTTTCCATGGAATTACCCAAGTATAATTTTGGTATCCAAAAAAAAGTTTTAAGAGGTAAGAATGTAGTTTGATTTAAAAAATCTGCTGCATAGACGATAGTTTGCTTGGCTTGAAAGTTTTGGATTTTTTTAATTTGTTTTAAAGTAAGAAGCAAATATTCCCAGTTTACTATTTGTCTTCTTGACATTTCTGATTTTAAACTTCTAACACATTTGCTCCCCCATCTCCATCAAGAAAGTTAACTGACATTAGAACACAAGGAGAATGAGGTAAGGTATACCCCTCTCAGGTATCTCATGACAGCTTAAGAGGTTTTGGTAAAAGAACATGTCAAAAATTCTTTCAAAATTATGAAGTCTCAGCTAGATTTTCTTTTACCACATGACTATTGATTCATTCAGAAAACTTGTATTTGTAACACACAACTTGGGTCTGCAAAAACCATAGGTTTTGGTCACCCAGTCACACATTATGCCTTACTCTACCCTTTAAAACCAATTCTTTAAACTACACAGTAAGTTATTCCCCTCCAGCCATCAGGATTACACCACTTGAAAGTGACAGGACATCCTCTTCCAGTTGAGTAATTTACAGGGCCAAAAGCAAAACAAGTTATTACTGACCAGTGCAATAACCTTACCATATATTAAGTTGGGTAACTCCACAGGTTACACTTGCTAACTAAAGCAGCTTACAAACCAATAATGTTCAAACACCTTCTGGAGTAACTGCACTTATACTTGAGACTAGTTTGGAGTAGATATGCTATTGAAATGATGCAGTCTGCACAGCTGCTTTCAATTATGTGAATCTATCTGTACTTCAAAAAAAATCAAAACTCTCTCAGAGACCCACTTCCTGCAATCGCTATCAAGAGCTAAACCCCTCATTTTAGGCACAAAACCAATTTAATCCTCCTTAAGCCCACATGGATGACCAAACTATGTTTGACGTTGATAAGTGGAGACCTTTATAGCAGCCTTCCAGCACCTGAACAGAACCTACAAGAAAGCTGGAGAGGGACTTTTTTCAAGGGCATGTAGTAATAGGATGAGGATTAACAGTTTTAAACTGAAAGAGGGTAGATTTAGATTAGATATTAGGAAGAAACTCTATACTGTGAGGGTGGTCAGACACTGGAACACGTTGCCCGGAAAATTTGTGGATGCCCTCCCCCTGGAAGTGTTCAAGACCAGTCTGGATGAGGCTTTGAGCAACCTGACCTAGTGGAAGGTGTCCCTGCCCAGGGTGGACTGGAACTAGGTGATCTTTAAGAACATTTTCAACCCAAACCATTCTGTGATTCTATGATACTGTGAAAACAAAGGAATTTCAATAGTAATTTTAAGAAATAGGATCATGAACAACATGCTGGCTGTCAAAAACAAGAGCTATAACTTAAGGGTCTGATAAAAATCAACATTAAAGTAGATGCTTTACAAGATCTGACTTTGCCCAATTTCTAGTAATACTGAATATGACATAGGAGCTCCAGCATTACACAATAAGAAATTCTGCATGAAACTAGACATAATTGTAGCAGTGATACGAATTTTACCTTGAACAGATAGTCTAAAATCTGGGAGCGATAAGGTTCTCGGTAATTCACCAGGAGTCTAGATGTGGCCTAAAATGGAAAGAAAACATGAAAATATGAAAAGCTATATTTCAAATGTTGAAGTATAGCCTAGTTTGTCAGTACAGGACTTTCACAAAGCTAATAAAACTAGAAAAATAATTATCACACCAGGAACTCAGGTAAGCCCCTACAAAAACTCTTTTCTAACTCTTCAATTGTGCATTTCTGGTTTTGTAGATTACAATCTACAAAACCAGAAATGCCTTGTACTCCAGTTATCTGCAATTTACTGCACAGAGAGTCCACAGAATAGAGCCAGCAAGGAGATCTCAGAGTCTTATCTCAAGCAAAACGCAGCTGCCTCTCAGCACCATTTCCTCCACTCTACTCGAATTTCCCTGCTTTGACTACCTATAAACCAAAGGAAAAGGGAGCTCACAGGGCACACAGGCAGGAGGGCAAGGAAGGAACCCAGCAGGCCCACGAGTGGGCAAGAACTCCCAGGAAATCACGGCTCTGCTGGCTGGACCGCAGGGAAGTGTACGACTGGCTGTTGACTTGTCCAGCATTTTAAAACTCATAGAGACAGGTAGCTCGGAAGACTTGCTGTAGAAAAACCCCACCTTGGCTGAGTTCTCCTCCAACAGCCCCACGGAGGCGGCTGGCCCTCGGCAGTCCAAGCAGCCTGATGAGAAAGAGCCGCTGCGCCGCTGACCGGAGGACAGGCACGAAGCAGGGCCCACTCCAGCTCTCCTGGAGACA